ATCCCCCCCCCTACTCCAACCGCACCCCCTACCCCGTCACCAGAAAAGTCCGCTGATTAGTACAGCAGGCTCGATAATCCAAGATGGCGGACAAACGATGGCGACTTTAGTAACAGCTTTCCTGCGCTCTTGCAGTCAGCAGACTAGATATTTAAGGACTTCTTATAGGAGATGTAATCTAGTGTTTACAGGTAGCCCACTTTGCGCTTAATACTTCAAGTCAATTTATAAGGTTTGATAGGTATTTCGGCATGCTGAAGTTAAACCTTAGAAGTACATAAAGCATTGATTATCCAAATTACATTGCAATATTAGTATATTGATATTTTTGATCTTTTATCAACTGATTATCGTTTAACTCAACGTGGTCAGTATGATTTTGGTGAACATATTATTATGATGGAACTTGCAGCTTGACCACGTTGTGTCAGTGATACCAGAACCACAGGGAACCCAATCTACCCAACTAATTTTTCTCTTCGTTTATAGAAATCAACAGGTTTTACTTTAGAAAATGTTCTTCAGGAGTAACTAARAAACCAAAGTCAGGCACCTCTGACCTTAAACTGGATCATAAGAATGCTATTGAGACTAGTATACAATCAAGAAAAGCTGCAAGAAGAAATGAGGGAAATGACTGCAAAAGTGATAAAATAAAAAGGGGGAAAAAAGATTCATCTGGGAACAATGACAGAGAAAAATCTAAGAAACCAAAAAAGATTAGTAAAGACTTGACAAAAAAAGAAAATATCTTACTGAAGAACAAGAAAAAACTATCATCCTCTGCTGCAGAGATGAAACAAAAAGATGGAAAAATAAAAACATTAAATGGTTTTAAGCAAGATAATGACATATTGGATGCAGAACAATACACTGATCAAGAAGTTAAAGATATGTTCATCTCCAGTAACAATGCTACTATCACTACAACAATGGACAGTAGATATTCTGATATGGAAGATGTGGATTCAAATGATATTTCTGGAGCCTCACAGGAAGTATCTTCAGATAAGGAGTTTGCAGCAGGGAGGGTTGGCATGAAGTATAGAGAAGGAACTGTTGGAGCAAGGCTCTATGAAGTCAGTACACTTGCTGAAATAAATGGCTTTCTTAGTTTAGGACAGGTGAACTTGTTTGATAATATTAAACTGTGTGCATTCATTTCTTACTATGATGCTGTTTAAAAAAGGAATAAAAATTCTGCCACCCATTGTGACAACTTGTAGGTATATCAGACCTTGTTGCAGAAAAAGGAGTGGTACTTTTCAGACAATGAGTCCACCACGACACCAAGCTTCTCATAAAATTACACAATATTGCTAGTCATATCATTTTTGCATGTACTTATTAAATATGATGTGTTGTTTTAGGTGCACCAAGCTCAAAAACTGTTCAATAGATACTTAAGAATTGGTAAACATCTTGGAATTGATTGTTTCAATAAGATGCTCCATGGATGGGCTGAGCAAGGAAATCTGATGAGTGTGAAGATGACGTTCAAACTTATCCAAAGTGAAGGATTGAAGCCTGATATATCCACATATGCTGCTTTATTGCACGGTTATGGCAAGTTTAATGATACTGAAAAAATAGAAGAAATAGTCAAGGAAATGGAAGAAAAGGTTTGTGACACCGTAAAACTACCCTGTATTTGTAYCAATGAGAAACGTATACAGTACTGAACATTTTATGTAGCCAGTAATGATGCATAGGGCAGTACTTTTGCTTAATAAAGTATAATACAGTATAGTATAATACAGCATGGGTGCCATGCGCTGCTAATTGCACTGAACCCTTCCACTAATGTCTCCTGGGTTAAGCTTCCAGGGAGGGGGTACTCCCCTATATTCACTATACGGGTACGTGCCGCCAAATAGGGTATGGTTTTCAGTGATTCTACTCTGGAACAAGGTATATAAAATCGCACTCGCTCTCTCTCCTCTCTGGAACAGGGTTTTCAGCGATCTTGCTCTGGAACAGGGTATGAATTTCAGCGATTTTTACTCTGGAACAGGGTCAGGGTTCAGAGGGCTCAGCCGCACATCCCTACCCTAAACAGGCAAGAATACCCCCCCCCCCCAGGTTAATCTTTGCCAGGCTCGGTGTCATTGAGTTGTTTGTTACTTCACTCCTGTGCTTCAAGGGTTCTCCAATTTTTCTTCTCTCCAAAAATAATAACTTTTAATTCTAATTTGATCAATAGGCTGCCTTATCAATTGGGTTGCAAAACCTATTAGGCATTATGCCATTTATCCAGGAGTGGTAAAGGCATCAGAATTTTTCAAATACAGTGTTGTTTCTGTTTATTCCATCTTTTCCAATATACAGTATGCTATATTTTCAAAAGAATCAAGTAATTTAGACCAAAAATCAGTAATCCTAAGAAATCATACTTTTCTGTCAACAGGAATTTCTTCCAGAACACATTTTTTACAAATGCTCATTGACTGAAAACCAAGCAAAGGGAGTTATGCATGCATTAAAACTAGTGAATCCTAATTATCAGGCTACCATTCCTCCTGAGTACAGCAAAACTCACTACCCCTCCTTAGTAAAACAACTTTATGACAACATGGCAAAAGGGATAGATGAAAAAGTGGCTCCATTTGTGGGAGAGTTTGAGAAAGAATTTATAGAACAAGAACTCAAAGAGTTGTTGGAAGAGCAGCTTGCAAGAGAGCTGCGTGGAGTAACAGTCATCAAGTCTATTGAAAAAGTACAAGAACATGACAAGGAGACAAGAAAGTTAAAGGGAATGTATGAAGAATGGAGACAGAAATGGAAGAAAGCATTAATGGAATTAATTGAAGTAGAACTTCAAGAGATTAAGGATGGCAAATGTAAGCACAACAGTTAAGAAGATGGACATTAAAAGTATTAGCCTGAAAATAGAAGTTGTAATAATTATTGATGGTCTTTATTTGCAGTTAAGTCTTTAAGACCAAGATATGCACCTTTTTTCCAAGACTTTGATGCAGAAGAACTAGCAGAGCTTACATTGGATCAGGTCATATTCTACATCAAAGGACAAATTGAGGGAGTACCACTACATAGTCTTAGTGGGGCTGTTGGATCAGCATTAAATGCAAAGTATATTGTCAAGCAGCGAGAAAAGGCTGGCGTATTAAAGAAAGTAAGGAAAAAGACACTTATCTGTATTGTACTGTGTAGATTATTTTCTAATGCTGGACTATCTCTTGTGACTGTCATTTCAGATTCAGAATATCTACTCAGATTACTTCAAGTACATAATGGATGAGCATTATAGCTCACAAAAGATGGCAAGAGATCGCTGGGATGAGCTAGACTTGGATAGGCCGTATGAAGCCTGCTTACGCCAGGAAATCTCAGACTGGCCCTGGGCTACAAAACTTCTGGTTGGTAATCTGTTGAATGTTATTGAGTATGCATGGATACATATTAAGTAACGATGCCGTTTAGAACGATAGCACCCAACGGCAAGGCATGCGCAGTGAAGATTTCTATAATTGGCTTAAATAATTACATCCAAGCT